GCGCTAGCGGCTTCCTGCATCCCCTTACGCACCTCCATCTGCTCTGAGACTCTTGTTATTTGTGTTGCGGGATGTATTTTGACGGTACTTCGCTTTGAGATATGTCAGACGGTCAAAGTGAGAGGGGCTTATATTGAAGACTTGGTGATGACGCCATTCCCATCTTCCCCCTCTTCTTCGTCTGATTCCCCTCCTCCTCATCTGTGTATGATGGTTTGGGACTGACGCATTCTTCCTGCGTGAGCGCCAGGCCCCTTCACACCTTGTGATGATGTTGATGTATGTTTGGTCTGCATTGCGACATTGATTGGTCTGATCATTGGTATTCTAGCCTTCCGCTGCGCTATCCTGTACTATGACATTGTGAGAGAGGGAGAGGTCGGTTCTTGTTCTGGTCTGCACCATTACGGTATGCAACATTTGTCCACACATCAGAGGGGAGAGGGAGCCAGGTGGGCAAGCTCGTCCTCGATGTCAACGGAGGGAAAAGGCCGCACTGGACAAGAGGATACTGCGGGCTGCAGTAGCAACGTCCAAACACAGAGGGGGTGGGGGTGGGGGGTGGGGGAAGGAACATGGTACTGGATGGCTTTGGAAGCGTTTTGCACACTGCATAGGAGGACGACGATGGGGACGGCAACTGATATTGCGAGGGCGGCACATGCATGTTTCACATACCCGTGTGCACGCGTTTGTGCACGTATGCAGCATACGCACACACATATGCCACAAATGATTCTGCCACAGTCATGCTTTCTTTGTTAAGTTGGGTATAGCGGATTGGACAGCACACACACACACACATGCCTGATGTGTCGAAGATAGTCTGATGAAACAGTTGGGCACAGGCGTGCTTTTTTTGTTGGAGCGTGTATCATGAACATGACAACGCGCGCAAGCACACACACACACACACACACACACACACACAGATGTCTCAGTCTGGCTCGTCAATCAGGAACAGTATGGCGATGTGCATTTGCAACCACTGCACCCCCCGGAGAGTAATCCGGCTGGTTCTACCACAAACAGTGAAGGGACCTCTCCACAGGATGGTGGCTGTGCCTTCCCATTGTGTCGTCGCAAAGGTACAGTTTGGTTGGCATGTACACGGCATAACCTCTGCTACAAACACTATGAAGGGATGGTCGCTGCTAACCTCTGCCGCGAAAACACTGATCCCTTGTCTTGTGATCATCCCCCTCATCCCCCCCCACCCCCTGATTACTTGCCCAGCATGCCATTGTGGCTTTGATCTGCCGTGCTTAAATAACTGTGCACGTCAGCCTTCCACACTGATGACATGTCAGCAACATGCCATGTGTCGTAAATGCTTCCAGAAAGCTCTCATACAAAGTATATGTCTTTCTGCGTGGACTATCCCCGCTGTCATCACCCGCCACATTCTCTCCTAGTATGTCCCACATGCAGTAATGGTCATACACCTACCGCAACGGCAGACGGATCTTCCTCTTCCTTGCCAGACGAACGACAGACACAGCAGCCCGAGGAGGAAAATAGACTTCTATATGAACCACCTGGACAGTGCAGAGCGATGTGCTGATAGTTTATCACCACCAGGGCGAGCTGTTGCGGACCAAATCCTGCAGCAGCTGAACACCCTTGCTTTGGACCGATCCTCCCTGTCGAAACCCAAGAAAGATGCTCCATGCCGCTTTGTTGATGACTCGGCGGAGATTCAACTAGCATGTGGTTTGCATGCCTTGTGCCGTGAGGATAGTCCATGCCAGTTTTTGCTTTCATACGTACGACGACAGTCAGTACTGTCCTCATGTACATCACCCTCACCCTGACACACGTCATGTCCTATTTGTAGACGGGCTAGAACGACAATACCTCTATAATTGCGGTCGACGTGTCGCCATGTTCCCAGCATGTAGGATCCACATAGCCTGTGACATCTGTCTGGGCCGCGCCATTCGATGCAGCAACTGTGACTGCGAAATTTGGATGCGGTGCTTCTACAGTCCACACCTAAATCAGTCCTGTCCGGTCTGTAGGGGACCAGGGGTGGCCACTCACCGTAGGCAATAGCTGCTCCTCAACTCGAAATCTTATGCAACCCAAAACACTAACTGACCTCATGTGCCATTCCAGAGTAGTCTGTTCCAGCAGTGAGTCATCATATACCTCTCCCCTGTCCTTTGCATGTCATGCCCTTTCACATATTTCTCTCCTGCCCTTTGCACTCCACCTCCCCCTACCCCACGCTCCTATAGAACTCCACCTTCTATCCCTTTCCCTCCACCCTCCCCTTTTGTGCTATACTAGCAAATACATATGAATGAGCATCGATAAGAGAACAGACGATATGAAGATCAGAAGTGAAATGAACAGGAGTATGAAGACGAAGGACAAACACAAACACTAAGCAAAAGCTGAAGATCTGAAGTGAAATGAACAGGACTATGAAGATCTGAAGAGAAATGCACAGGAGCATACCTTCCCTTTTACCCTGCCTCCTGTTATATCATGCAAGTGGGCCGTTAAGGCACATGGGGATGTGGGCAGCTGGCGCTTAACCACCATCAACATGGGCAGCCTTATATGTGCGAGGCATAGTAAAGGAGGAGCTGTTGCCCCAAGGAAACCCCAACTAAACACGGTTCAAAATGGTTCTATTATGATTCATGTTGCTTGCTAAAGAGGTGAATTCTTTATTGTTGGGCTGGCTCAACTCGAATCTACTCATCTGGGTGGAATAGGGGCTGTTGTGGTGGAAACGTAAAAAGCACACACACGTGCACCGATGGCGTACGCAGCACACAGACACAAACTTCCAAACCGCAGCCCGACTCTCTCTCTCTCTCTCTCTCTCTCTCTCTCTCTCTCTCTCTCTCTCTCTCTCTCTCTCTCTCTNTCTCTCTCTCTCTCTCTCTCTCTCTCTCTCTCTGTGTGTGTGTGTGTGTGTGTGTGTGTGTGTGTGTGTGTGTGTGTGTGTGTGTGTGTGCAATAGGAGATCCGAACAATATATCAAGCATCATCATTGCTGTCGGTTTATCCCGCCCAATCCTATCAATATTGTCTGTGTGCGGGGGCAGTGCATTAAACATGAGAGCGGTAGTATGGGAAAAACACGGGGGCCAGGAAGGAGGGTGCCGAGTTTTTTCAAAGAAAAGGGAAAACAAGAGATTAAAAGCACCCTGACTATCGAAGTCCCAATATTCGATTCCAACGGAGGCCAGAACGCCGGCCAAGGAAGACGCAAGCATGCACGCTCGCACACACACACACACACACACACACACACACACACACACACCGGATTGGTGTGACACATGTTTTTCACAATCAAACACAGAGCCACAATCACAAACACAAACAGCAAACCCATAACTGCAGACGAAAACATCATGCAAGCATACGGCCTGCAGCCCTCCCATGAGCTTTCCAAAGCCCGGGCATAACAAACGACCATCATACACAATATGAATGCAAGCACGATGGCACCTGAACCGCCATTGTACAAGCGCAACCTGATGCATGTCTGCAGCCATCCGCACGCTATGTCCACCAAAAGAAAAAAGAATGCAATGAGAGTACTCGTCCCAAAAAATCATGGTTGCACACACACACGCAGACACGCATGCACACAAAAACCAACCTCTAATTCGCTTCTTGACCTTCTGCTGTTTCACAAGTACCCAGCATTGCCAACAAAATGAAAATGTGCCCATTACAAACAATTGCGGGGATCTGAGCCCTCGACAGTGCTGGGAAAGGCCTTGCCCGCCCTAAGTGAAGGCGGGCCTGCAAATATGCGCCAAGGCCTGGGTACAGACCAGTGTGACCGCGCTAAAGGGCTGTTGGAATGTATATGCGGGCCTGAATTTTTGCAGTGGCCCTTGAAAGACTCACCCACATCTTGGCTGAGGCCCCATACAGACTTGTGCCCGCCCTAAGTGAAGGCGGGCCAGCATATTTACGAGAGGCCTATTTTTCAAATATTTTTTTTTCAATTCTGCATGTGGAGTATCAGACAGTTGCAGCATGCCAGTTGGTTACAGGGTTACGTGAGCCTTTTCCTGGCTCAATCCGGAAGCAGCAGCTCGAGAGGCAGTTGAGCCCAGGGCACGTACAGTTGAGGCCCTGGGCGTGAGCCACCAGAGGCTGACACATCACAGAACGGCCGCGTGCCAATGAGAATGCAGCATCTTCGTCACACACTGGCCAGCAGCCAATGAGATCATGGCGAACACTCGTAGCCTCGTGGGCTACCTGGGCGTGCCCAACTGTAACGGGCCCAGGCCCGTAACAGCAACTGGGGGCCTGGGCGTAGACACTTGGACCCGACTGGAAGCGACTGGAAACTCGTCCAGCCAGGCCCAGAGCTCGACAAAGCAGAGCTCACTTTCCATAAAGGAAAGTGGGCACAGCAGCCAGGGATATTCTGGCCGTGTGCTTGCTAGCGGCAGCGCTGCTGGCTGGAGCGCTGGAGGCCGCTGATAGGCCAAGGGCTGGAAGAGGCGCACACGGACGCAGTGGGGTTGGGCGCTGCTGCTGCAGCAGGCGCTGAGTAGCCATAGCCGGGCTTGCTCAGCGGAGGCTGGTGATGGTGATGGTGGTCCATGGGTGTCGGGGATGCACACTGAGGGAAGTGAAGGGGTGATGTGAGAGGAGAGAGAGGCATGTACCTGGTACTGGTGGCAATCTACATGAGCGTCGTCGGCTTGTACTTTGGTCTTCGGCATCGAAGTGATTCCTGTTGCATGAACGTCGTGTAGGCTAGTGAAGGTGCCGAGTAGATAGGCTGCGCGTTGAGTGCCAATCAAGAAGAGCGGCAGTGGATACTATGTTGGTGTGGCGAGAGAGTATCGACATTGACATTTGAGTTCATTGTATTGCTCTTATTTGGCTGATAACTCAGTGCATTGTGCTTTCTGCTTGGTACACGGCTATCTGGGCTACAGCGTGATTTTGGAATTTGGAATTCTGTCTATCGCTCTCGCTCATATTCCTTGCACAATGATCTGGATGGGAAAGAAAAACGGGTTGTTTCGGTGACAATTCACACACACACACACACACACACACACACACACACACACACACACACACACACACACACACACACAACACTTTTTTCATGGTCAAGTACAGAACCAGAGTCTAGATAACACGTCTCTCTCCTAACACAAACACAATACGCACACTAACAACAGACCCATGACTGCAACGAAAACATCCTGCAAGCACACTGCCTGCAGCCCTTCCATGAGCTGTTCCAAGCCCAGATATGACACACTTCTTTTCGTGATCAAATACAGGACCAGCTTCTACATAACGCATCGCTTCAGACACAAACAACAGACCCATGCCTGCAGACGAACACATCGTGCAAGTATACGGCCTGCAACCCTCCCATGAGCTTTTCAAAGCCCAGGCATGACAAATGATACAAATGCGAGCACGACAGAGCACGAATCACCATCTGGTAAATATCCATCTGTCACTTCCAAAACAAGCATAACAGACTGCAGTAAAAAACATGGGTGCATAACGCATAAAACATCCGATGTACTTAGGTGTTTTACGCACCCATGTATTTCTACTGCAAGTTGTTATGCTTGTTTTGGAAACGACAGCTGGATGCCTACCATCTTTTGATTTGTCCATGTACAAAGAAGGACGGAACGGTGCTGTGGTTTACTACGTGATGACGCTGTAAGTCATAACCCGCCTTAACCCCAGTTACGGGTGAGCACCAACCACTGTCCGCCAACGAATACACTAAGGTGGGCCCCGACCACTTCCCTACTCGACGGTTAACTCATCAGTCGGTTGATATCTTGAGATCTGCGTGGGCAGGGGCCTAAAAAAAAAAAAAAAAAAGACCTGCATGAAAGCATACCATACCACTTGTCCTCAACATATCCTCTTTGGACTGCCACTCCCTGGGCCTGCCTCGCTACAACGCCAGAAATTTCTGTCCAGCGCCACACCCTCCAGTCTGTCAGCAGGGTATCTATCGCTTTACAGTGAACACAAATCATGTAGCAGTCAAGATTCCCTCTGTTTGATTTCAGAATGCGAGTTTAGCAATCATTCATTCATCGGCAGAGAAACTTTCAGGAACACCTTTCTTCGCTTTCAGAATGCGAGTGTAGCGATCATTCATTCATCAGCACAGATTCACAGAAACTTTCTTTTTCGTTCCAGATCATTTCCATCATGGGAGAGAGACTCACATCTGCAAGCCAGTCATGAACCAGAGTTCCCTGAGCCTCAAAACAACCCCCACTAAATTCTGGACACTTAAAAGGGGAGCCCAACTTATCCAAAACCCTTTTCACAGACTGTTTCAACGGCGAATGCCCATTATTTCTGCTAAGCTTGCCCCAACCTACTATCACCTGCGCTACAGCTGGTATCGGCACTACGTTTCTCCCCGTCTTTTGCTTTATGTCAGCAAACCATGCCATCAACAACGCTTCAGCTGATGCGAGAGAGGCCCTTCGCAGATCGAGCAGCCATGCTCCACTCCCCGTGCAATACATGTCCTCCGAAAAGACCCCTCGTTCGACACCAATAAAGACCACATCTGCGGCAAGCAGGTGAAGACCCCTTATCCAAGCAAACTCAATTACTGCATGACAAACACCCATGACTGACTGTTTATCGTTACCGAATGCATCCTGCAAACAGTGGTACATGCATTTTATATCCTGCAGTCTTTGGTGTCGGTCTTCATCGTAACCGTTGGATTCTTGCACCAATTCCGACCTAGGTTTTCTTGGCAATCTGCCACCTACCTCAAGACTTGGAAGAAGCAGCAGCTTGTAGAACACATGAAATCGTCCGCTCGCAAGCCACTCAAAGCACGCTATGATTGTCTGTGCATCTCCTGAACGCTTACACGCTGCAGAGAACGATATCAGCATTGCTAACATGCGTGCATCAGGGGCACATCTGCATGCATCCATTGTTTTCAAGACGGTCGGGACTTCTTCGTACCGTCCAGCTGCTACATAGGAGCCCAGCAAACAACCGAACGTAGCAGGTTCTGTCATCGCAACGCCCGCGGCTCTCATTTCTCGAACCACAGCCTCCATCTGCGCAACGTTGCCCGTCTTCCCGTAAGCAACCAGAAGAAGGTTGTAGATTCTCTCACTGGGAGCGATGTTCGACTGGCGCATAACCTCGAGCACATCCTCCATCTTCGCGTGCGTCTTCGCTTTCAGATAGCCCTTCAGCATGGCAACAAAAGTCTCTGCATTCGGTCTCACCCCAGTCTCCTTCAAGCGTTCCCAACACCGTTCCATATCCTTTACCTTGCCCACTCTCCCATACGCCCCGATGACAGCATTCATCGCCCTGACGAGCACCGAACTCTCTGAACAACGGTCACCCCCATTCTCACACACCTCAAGCAGCTTCTCCAAGGTTTGCTCCATCTCTGCAAAGAGGGATGCTCCTCCATAAGCATCGATGATCGCCCCGTAAGCCACTTGATCCAATTCCAAACCGGACGTCTGAAGCTCCCGTAAACCGGATTGTAATTCCCTTATGTCCCCTGCCTTGGCGTAGGCAACGACCCAAGTCTTCAGATATTGATCATAAGCGATTGGCAGCCCTTCTTCATCGACAGGCATTCCTAGCCGCCTTCTCAAAGTCCTGAGGATCCCCTTCCTCCCAGTGTCCAAGCATGCATCCAGAATACGACAATACGAGGCCAGATCTAGTTGAAAACCCTCCCGGTACATGGCATCGAGTGCTGCCTGCATCTTCGACAACTTCTTCGTCGTTGCATAACCTTTTATTAAGCACAGAAAGGAGAAGCGATCTGGGCGGCATGACAGCTGCATCTCTGAGAACACCTCCTCCATGTTGTCGACAAGACCGGCGATTGCGAATGCGTTAAGCAAAGTATTGGATGTTCGGGTGTTCAGGCTGCAACCGTCCTTCTTCATTTCTCTGTACACCACCTCCAGGTCTTTGAGCAGGCCAGCTTTTCCAAGCCACGTAAAGAGAGAGTTGTAACTCGTGATATCCAAGGTCTTCCCTACGCTCCTCATCATCTTCGCCACGCTCATCATCTCGTCGTATTGCCCTGACCTTCCATAACCGGCGATCAACGAATTGTACGTGTACGTGTCCGGTTGGCACCCATTGGACTGCATCTCTCTGAACAGTGCCTTGACATCATCCAACTTTCCTTCCTTTCCCAGGAAGCTCATGACTGTGTTGTAACTAGACGTGTTAGGTATACATCCACAAAGAGTTCGCATATGCCTTAGAAGAACTAGTGCTGTATCAGTCTGCTTGCTGTTTCCATATGCGATGAGTAGGGCATTGCACATGTACACTGTGACTGGTTGACCCAACGACTGCAGCTCTTCAAACAACTCCAGCGCTGCATCTGCTTGCTTTCCTCTCCCCACTGCTGCAATTATCTTCGCATACCACCGAGGGTTGGGCGAAAACCACCGCTGCCTCTGCATGGATCTGAAGACCTGGACCAGGATAAATAACACACAGAGTCCAAGGAGAATGTCAGATTCCAGATCCTATCAGATTCACTACTTCTCAGTTTTTTTTTTTTTTAATCCTCTCAGATTTTGTATCAAGCCATTGAGTCTACTCAAAGAGTGGCCTTGATCATGGTGATGAAGAAGATCACCATGAATAGGACGCTGAATGAGATCATGATGAATGTGATGACAAAGAGAAGCACATCGTGTGCGGGTAAATAGGAGCGTGGTGCTCGCGATGGTTAAGAGTACCTTAATCTCGATGGTAGCCCGCTCCCAACGGATTCAGCGCGGCAACTACGAAACAACAATCATGACGAGCTCCCTGGTCACGAAGATGGCCACCACGCTAATAGCGGAGCATGCAACAATGAACCAGCGCTGCATGGCACACTCATAGTGCACACCGTAGTTTTGACAAAAAGTAGAAAATGGAAAGTCGGCCGAGCCCGGTCCTTTTTCAATTAATGCGTGACATCCTTGTGCAGGGGCCGTGCTAATCTCTATATCGTTCCAATTTTAACGGATGTCCCAAAGGACCATGCCGGCCACCTGCCTTGATGCATCACAAGCAGCCTGAACAGCCCCAGGCAACTCATGAATTTTGTTCATCTAGTTCCATCCGAATTCGAGCTCGATCTCTACTTCAACAATTTATGGGTGTACCCGCTACGCTAGGTTGGGGGTTTGCCTCGCCATTACCGAAACCAGTGTAGGGGTCATGCCAGTCTACTCTGCATCGTCCCAGTTTTCACAAATGTTCTGAAGAACTGCCTTGCAGGCACAGTCCTGGGACATTCCCACGGCCACGAGCTGGCCCCAAGATAATTCAATTGTAATATTTTACTCGTCTGCTCCAATGGAGTTTGAACTCAGGTCTGTATTCCAACAGTTCAGGGGGTATACCAACTGGGCTATGCCCGTCGGCCTCAGCGCTGGTCCCGGAACCAGCATCGGCACCGACCCCAATAGGCATGCTCACACTCAAACCCCCCTCTTAGTAGATTGTGGTTCGGCGGAGGGTGGGCCCGTAGGTTGTATCTGCCACTCAGGTCTTTTCTGCCTTGTGCGCCACGCACCCACCGCCTTACATGCATGTTGACTCCTCGGACCGTGCCTCAAAAACAGGCAGGATAGAGGAGTTTCCTCAGCGTCCCGAACACGTGGAAACCCCCAACAGTCAGTCAAGAGGGTGCATGCTCAAAGTCCTCAATTGCTGTGCCGGCCACCCCACGTTCAACAAGAAGGGCGACGTCTTTGAGACATCAACGTTGAACTGACCTATCGCAGGCAACTCTTAATTATTTTGTTATGTTCACCTGATGGCATCTGCACTCGAACTCGATTCTGTGTCTCGGCAGTTCAAGAGAGTACCAACTGGGCTAGGCCCATTTGGACTTCAGCACCGGTCTTGGAACCGGTGTCGGAACTGGCACTGTGTCCCAAGAAAACGGGCCCAAAAACAAACGTAAAACCAGCACTAATTATAAGGAAAAATCGGGGAAGGGGGAGGGAACCATTGGTACCCCTGTGCTCTGCTGATCGGGCCCGCAGGCGGGGCTGGTAACAAAACCAAGGAGGAGAGCCCCTCCAGGCCCTCAACCCCTTGGCTTCTTCAAACTGCTCCAATGCTCCTTCATCGTCGCCGGCTGGCCTCGATCCCTGTTCCTCCCGCATTAAAGTTTAACACCGTAACCAATAATACTAGGCCCAAGGCTGACATTAGCAGCCACGCAATTCCATATAAACGGGTGCTGCGCGGCGCGCGGTGCGACCAATACACACCAAGGCCACACCTTGGCCTACCGGCTAAACCCTCGGCCACCGAACGCCGACACACGCCGTACGAAGGGGCCTGGTGCCACTCATAGCTGCCGCATGCATTATTCGACACGCCAAACCACTCCCTTACCTCTCAGTGGTGAAAACTCAACTTTAACTAAACCAAACCTTGTTCGTGCATGCCCTCTTCAGAACGGAAAAAGAACTCGGCAGACGCCATGAAAACCTTGTTATACCGTGTGCTACACGGGTCCCAAAGTCCCTTCAGATAAAGGCAAAGATATACATTTCTAAAACTTCGCGGTGCCGACGGCCACTCCCAACGTTGGCCATAGGAATACTGCCTCCGCGCACACACACACGCCGCAACCATATGTATTAACCAAAGGAAAATACCATTTAATCATAATTTAATCAAAGACAAAAGTATTATTCGGCAAATGTGCCGGTTCTGAAATATCAACAAGGAAGAATCACTTTCGGTCAAACATTCTATCGGCCTAAGTAAATGCTACTGCGACTCTTGTGGTGCACTCAATTGTCAAGTCAAAACTTATTTTGTCACTTGCAAAAACCAGGGTGGATACCCTTGTAAAGGTATTCGCGCCGACACCGGCGAACAAGAAAAGCGAAAATAAATGTTGTTTTATAGGAGAAGAAGGAAAAGAGAGAAGACATGGGCATGAATCATGCAAGGTGCACAAGTGGAGAGTGAGTAAAACCAGTGGACAAGAAAAGCGAAAATACATGACCATCAACCGGCAAGCCAGTCGCCAAAGATTAATGGAGAGAAAAAACAAAAAACAGAAACAAAAGACAACAAGCTGCCACAAGAACGTACCTTTAAGGCCAGCTCCCAGCTGCACTCGCTACAGACATATGCGAACAATGTCAGAAAATCTTCCTTTGAGAGGCGACGTTCTTCATCGCGAAAGGCTTCTAGCAACAAATGATTCATTGTTCTCTTGCAATTGTTATGAGTCGTCCCGGTCACATCCGTTGCACTGCTGCTGGCTCCTGTCTCGAAATTAAACCCCCTTCCATGGGGGAAAGCGTGGGTCACAGGTGGCTCCTCCTCGTGAAGACCGGCAGCATGTGGTGAAGCTGCAACTTGAGTCCCACAGGCTATAATGGGGCTTACCAACCCCTTCCTGTTGGGGTATGCCGTCGGGCCCTTCCTGACACTGATGGGTTGCTTCTTCAGTCGCAGGCTGCGGCGGTGATGACACCTGCATGAAGAGTGGCACCTGATTGAAGCAGTCTTCCCGTTGCAGCGTGAAGGACAAGAGCCATCATTGCCGACCATAACCAACGACCTTGACGAAGGCTTGTCACCTCTCCCACCTCTCATGGCGTAGAAGCCCTGCGACCTTGCACAGTTCGATTGCAACACTCTGCATACCCAAGAAGTGAAACATAAATAAATAAATTGGGAAAAAAAAGAGTCCCGACTGTTTGGTCCAAATAGACCGAAAACGTAACAAAGGAGTGAAAAGTTGAAAAATAAATAAATTGGAAAAAAATAAAGAGTTCACAGGGTAACACTTCACTGAATAATATACCCATGTAGCTGTTGTTTTTTAAACTTTTTTTTCTTTTTCTTCCGTTTTTTTCTCAATTTATCTCCCCTCATCCTTGCACATGGGTCATTCTAATCTTCTTCTCTGTATTGTTCCAATTTTTTTCAATTTTAATGGATGTAGCGAAGGACAGTTGTTTGATTATTTGTATTTGTTTCTTTATCTTCGATTCAATATAAGGCATTCTGAGATGACCACCAGCGAAGAGTTGTTTGCATTGGAATTCTACAGAACATTTGCATTGGAATTCTACAGAACATTTCTTCTTTCAGTTTGTTTTTTTTTCTGGTGCTGGGGTTGCCTGGGACCTGGCCGGGAGCTTGCCTGGGGCCTTTCCCAGCCACGTATTCCGGGCAGCCAGAGGCAGCCCGGTCATCCACAAAGACATCCTAGCTCGTAAGACAAAGGTTGTAGGCTTGTAGCGCTATAACTAGTATAGCTAATTAGTGTTCCTCTTCAAGGTTTTTCATACAAGTATTCCTCTTTAGATGTTTTATAAGAGGAACACTATTGAGGTGTAAAATAATAATAATAATAATAATAACCCTCTTAGTTAGGCCACTTGGCTCGCCCGGCCGTGCAGGCGGGCCAAGTCACCTGCACAGGGCACCCCGTACAGACAAAAATGAGCCCTGTTTTTTCTTTTCTTCTTTTTTTGGGGGGGAGGTGGGGAGGGTGGGGGGTGTCTGTGCATGCCCAGAGGAGCTCAAATCCAGGCTCCTTTCTC